AGGTTAAATCAATGAGTATATACAATTGCCAGATTTTTTTGGTGAATGTATACAACTAGTCAACTAACAGACTACGTTTGAGAAATTATCGTGAATACTAAGGGTTTATTTTTCTTGCATGCACTTTTTCTTCCTCGCATGAAGCAACTTACAAGTATCTTCATTGATATGTGGTCTACACTATCTATAATATAATTATTTCTGCAAAATAAGTGTATATTCATAATCTGTATGAATATCATAATATATAGACTCGACATTTATTTATTTCCCTGTTTTTATTTACGATGTAGGAATCAGATAATGTTGAATTAGCTATCTGATATATTTAATATTTGTGAATATCCTTTTATAACAATTATTTATTTTACAGAGAAAATAATCGCTAAAATTATCGACCCGTGTCTCTGTTTCGCACTGAACGGCAATGTACTTGTACTTGGATTTGTACATGCGGATTTATCGCTTTTAATACTGGAAACATAATAATTTGCACAATAGATATATATAATTGTTCTTGTTTTCAAATAAATATGAAATATGAATTCAACAGAAATAAAATTTAAATTTATTCAGGATACTTGGCAATCATACCGTCAAAGGCGAACCAAAGTTTACACCTCGAAGCTGTTATATTATGAACTCACATGTTTGTTAACGAGCTGTTTGTATTAAGTCAATCTTCATTTTGATTTTTTTTCTACCTATCAAATAATCATTATTTATGATTTCAAAATTCTATAACTGAAATGATTTTTATAAACAAACTATTTTCTTCCGTAATTTTCTCGCACGGTGGAACACGGAGGGTCCCCCAAGGAAACGGTAATGTCCACGGTGTTACACGGTGCGTCTCTGGAATAATCACAATATACGCACACCGTGGAACACCGTGTACACGGTGTAACACGGAGTATTTTACACGGTGTATTTTCCACCGTGGGGTGGCAAAAACTCGTGAGCTGTACTGTATCATAATAAACAATATCAAATTACACAACTTAATCAATACCTAATTAATTTTGGAAATAAAAGGCTGGCCATCAAATATAAACTGACCAACAGTTCCTCTGTCTAATTCCCATAAGACCATGCTCTGAAGAAATGAAAGAGACATGCAGCTAGCCTTCCTACATTGAACACATTAATTAATCTTTAACTGGATGCTTGTCTACTCATTACTCCCAAAAGATTATTGGATCTGCACTATCTACCATAAAACATTTTTAAAACATACAAAACATCAATGATTTTTTTTTTAGATTTAATGTCAGACAATTAATTGTTAATATGCAATTCATATGGACATGCAGATTCCACCCCTACCCCCATAAAATTAATTTTTAAGTTCATAATATTATGTAATATCAAAATAGTTTAATATGCAATATCAAATTAGTTTTAATTCTTCTCATCAAATTCATTTTAAAACTTCGGCTAGCCAACTGCAATTCATGTCAAAGCTATTTTTAATCCAACAGGCTTACCCATTTGGCCCTATACTCAAGGGATATAGATAGCACGGATGCTCTTACAGCTACTCCTCACACTAAACTCATTAATTTCTCTCTCTAATTTGACATGCAATTTTCTGTTATCAAAATTTTTCTTGACCAGTGCTTGATAATTAGACTCATGGGAGTGGTGGAATTTCTCTAACATACATTATATTTGTTATAGATTGCTGTCAAGTATATGCTAAAAACAATAAGTATTTTCTTGATTTAACATTTTTCTAATAAGGTTAGTGCAAGAGTTTTACATTTTTTTGAATATGTAAATGAATAGAAAAAAAGACATTTTTTTTTAAAAATTCCACTTAAATTGAAGGTCACAGTGACCTTGAAATAGGTCGCGACACACCTTCTACCTAAGATGCATAAACTGGCCAAGTTTGATGATCCTAAGTCTAATAGTTTTCTAGTTATGGACCGGACAGGATTTTTCCATATTTGGCTATAACTTTTTAATTATAGGTCAGAGCGACCTACTTTTTGTGCGCGACACACCTTCTACCCAAGATGTATCAGCTGACAAAGTTTGATAATTCTAGGCCTTATAGTATTAAAGTTATGAGCCGGACACGAGAAAAGCTAACAGACGGACGGACGGACAGACAGACGGACATGAAGCCTATAACATAATACGTCCCGTCTTAAGACGGGCGTATAAAAACCATTCCATTTTAAGCATACACTTTGAAATACGCTGAATAAGGAACCCACATCCCTCTTGACCAAGTAAGGTTAAGGATTCTGCAAAGAGTCGCGTTTGAATTAAATTTTTTCATAATTTTACTAGGAATGAACTACATAATTTATTTATTATCGATATCACTTATCAGAGTTGTTTACTTGAACAAAGATTTTGTTACCATGATTGGAAAACAAAAATTCTGTGAAATCTTTCAAGATGCTATTAAAATATTTTCTTTTACAGTTTTTCATTTTGCATAATTTATTACATTTTTGTTTACAAAAAGCAAGAACATTCATGAATAGTTCATGAACATTCCTAAATAACTTTTACAAATTATTCATGAATAGTTCATGAAAATGCATTGAACCTATTAAGGAGGAATGCCACACCAACTTTTTATTTTATAGATCTCTGAGTCAACCTTTTTAAACAAATGTTTCAGCATTGAGAGGCCGATATTAGCTCTTATTTATTTTATATGAATTTTTTTCTATTTTTTCAAAGAAAATGGAAAAAAATTAATTACATCCAAATTAGATGTTTCTTGTAAAATTTTTGCTGTAAATGAATGCATCACATGAATACCTAATAAAATATATAAAGAAAGTCTGGTTAGACTTTTTAATTTTTTTTATAAAAAATTATTTATGAAAATAAAACACATAATTTATGAATATTTTTTAAACTTGTGGTTAAAATCTTCTTAAAACCAGCCACAACTGGGGAGAACATGCTCATTATTCATATTTATAAAAGAAATTGAAACAAAATAGCCAAATTTTAGAGAAATTTATTTTTTTAAATTTTGGCCAATCCCGATCAAAATTAAACCGATCCCGACCATAATTGTACAATTATTGGAAATGAATAACATTTTTCTAAGAACACTAGTCTGATTAGGTGTTATAAGGGTTAAAACATTATAGATCCTGACAATAAATAGATTTCTTCATTGTAAATACATGATGAGGCAATAAATTAGCATTTTATTCATTTTGTGTTAATTTTGATAGGGATCAGTTTAATTTTGATCGGGTTAGGTCCAAATATTAAAAAAATTAATTTCTCTAAAACTTCTCAATTTCGTTTCAATTTCTTTTAAAAATATGATTGACAAACATGTTGTCCTTAGTTGTGACTAGTTTTATGGTGTTTTTAACCATAGGTTTAAAAAATATTCACAAATAATGTGTTTTATTTTCATAAATAATTTTTTATAAAAAAAATTAAAAAGTCTAACCAGACTTTCTTTACATATTTTATTAGGTATTTATGTGATGCATTCGTTTACAATTCAATGATTTCTAAGTGAGTGAAAATGGAATTTTAAAAGTATTTATTACACTAGAAATATGTCCATAGGACATGAATGCCCCGCCGAGGATACATAAGTATCCGAAGCAAGTCTGGTAGTGTCCATCCCTAGATGCATCATCCATACAAGTTTGGTTCAGGTAAGGCTTATAGTTACTAGGATATAAAAATGTAGGTCAGATCCAGCATCTGAAGCAAGTCTGGTAGTGTCCATCCCTAGATGCATCATCCATGCAAGTCTGGTTCAGGTAGAGCTTATAGTTCCTTGGGAATGAAAATGTTGGTCAGATCCAGCATCCGAAGCAAGTCTGGTAGTGTCCATCCCTAGATGCATCATCCATGCAAGTTTGGTTCAGGTAGGGCTTATAGTTACTTGGGAATGAAATTGTAGGTCAGGTCCAGCATCCGAAGAAAGTCTGGTAGTGGCAATCTCTAGATGCATCATCCATGCAAGTTTGGTCCAAGTAGGGCTTATAGTTCCTTAGGAATGGACCTGCTCCAAAAACTTTATTCTGGTCACTCATCTGGAAAATGTAGGTCAGATCCAGCATCCAAAGCAAGTTTGGTAGTGTTCATCCCTAGATGCATCATCCGTGCAAGTTTGTATCAACATATGTGAAGTTTGATAGCACCATCTTGAATGGTATGTTTAAAACTGAGCTAAACACTAATTTAAGAAAAGTGAGTTCAAGGTCAAAGGAAAGGTCAAGGTCAAAAAATGTTTATGCAGTTGCATAGCTCTCATTCTGTTACGTCATCATACCAAGGGAATCACGTGAGATAGCATTACGTCTGCGTAATAGGGTCAGTGCGTTGCTTCCGCTTGAAGTAATAGGGCGCAATTTTTTTTAGAAGAGCTCATTACCGTTGTGAACGGTGTATCATACGAGAGTTCAATTTTTTCACCTTATTTGTCGTAGACAAATATATACATTTTTTTGGGGTGAAGTATCTTTATCTGTCGTAGACAGATTTCATTTGTGAATTTTTTGGATTTTCATCATACACGTGGTGTTATCAACTTATCATGGCAGATGTAATGAATAAAACTATGGGAGAACATGGAGAAGTTAGGTCCATTTGAGGAAGAAATAAACAATAACCTGAAGAAATAAAAAAAAAATTCAACTATTAAAAGGCAAGATGTTCACCCTACTCCCCAATACTCCCGGTCTGTTTTATGATAGGAATTATAATTTTAGGCATCAAGTAAATTTTAGAACAATGTCTACACATTCACCTAACACATATTAAAAAAATGAAGATATATTGAAGACTTTTAAAGAATTGATTTTTTAAAATATATTTTGATCAACATCACAAAATTTATATAACTGGCCCAAACTGGCAGATGATGAAATAAGCAATTAAATGTTCTTCTTTCCTATTTTTAAGCATTATGTGTCCAGTAGTAAGGAGCCTATTAGACATGTTAGAATAGCATAAAAGAAGAATGTACAAATGTTAACTCTTTCCCACTCAGAGCTCTTCAGATAAGACGCCTCTCTATACTTGCACAGCAGGCTACTGCTGCAGCCTTATCTCCGCAGCAGTTTAGCATCAGTGATAACCCCATTTACTCAGGCATTTTCAGAAATCAACAAAGAAATCACAGTGCATGTGTTTTTATTGATATTACTAAAAAACTATTTGGTAAAAGTATATAAAAATATATATTTTTATTTTCAGGACATTCTCACCTTTAAAATGATGTTAATTTCAATTTCATGTATCAAAGTAAATCCAAGAAAAAGTTGAGCAAATGTAAACAAACAATCTGTACACAAAGATTTTCCTTGAAAAAAAACACATATTTTCAAGATTTAACAGTCCATCTGAAGGTTTTACTGTCCACCATGAAATGTGAAATGGCAGCCATCTTTGCACAAATGCACATTGCACACTTTGCAGCCATAAACAGTTTCTTTCCGCTCTTTTTTGTTCATGTGAACACGACACCTTCTTTTGGTCCCCATGTGCACGGATTCGTGTCCAGGAAAGTTCTCTGCCTGGTGGACCACCTCAACATTTTCAGCTGCTTTCCTTTTCCGTCCGGAGAAGCCTGCAATTAGATGGTGAACAAGCTCCATCCTAAATGCTACGTGTGTAAATCTTTTCCTTGTATTTGGTCGGTTTGACGTTTCGCAGAACAGAATGAAGGAATTTACCACTGCACAATTCATCAGGAAATAGAAAATGTACTTCCAGGCTTTCTTACTGTCCCTTCCTAGAGGATACTTCAGTCTCAGCTGATCATGTCTGTCCACACCATTCATATACTTATTGTACTCATTGGCAGCATGGGGTTGTGTCATTTGCAGTTCCTGTCTTCCATGCTGCCTGGTGACGGGAACTTGTCTACGAGGGTCACTTAGGGTGCTTAGGAAGGCCACTGGCTTTTTGTCCTGCCAGACAGAAGCAGTAAGGTTTCCTTTCTGTCTGGTCTGTGACTGTCCCCTCTGTAATCTTAGTCTGCCTTTTAAGTCATCAGGAAACCCTCTTCTGTTCATGCGCACGGTGCCGCAAGCATAAATATTTTCCTCGAGCAAGTCCTCCATGAGTTTGACGCTGGTGAAATAGTTGTCAAAGTATAAATGATGGTTCTTTCCAGTGATGTCCCTGGATAATTTGGTGACAACATCATGTCCAAGTCCATGTTCTGAAGTGGCTTCTCCCTTTCCTAAGTATATGTTGAAGTCGGTAAGAAACGCATTCTCCGAATCGCACCTCATCCAAACTTTTATGCCTCTCTTGATTGGCTTAGCAGGGAGGTATTGCTTGTAAGAGAGTCTTCCTGTCCATTTAATCATAGCTTCATCAATGGCCATGCTTTTGTTTGGCTTGTAACTTTCATTGAACTTTCTCTTTGTCATTGTAAGGACTTCTCTCACCTTGAACAATTTGTCAAAGTTTCTGGTTCCCCTGGCTGGCTCGGACGCACGATCACTGACGTGAAAATATTCTGTTATTTTCTCATACCTTCTTGAAGTCATCACAGATTTAACTCCTTCATTGCCAAGATACACATCTTTGGACCAATAATCCTTATATGAAGGCAGCTGATTGATGCCCATCAAAATATTAAGTCCAAGGTAAGCCTTCATTTCAGCTTCAGTGATTTCATACCATACACGGTCTTCCTCGCCCTTCTGTTCCATTTTCCATCTCGCATAATTATTTGTGTGGCGAACAAAATCTGAAATGCTGTCTGGACTAAACATAAGATCAAAGTAATCCTTTGCTGTGGCTGTATTCACGTCAAAATTGTCCGGGAATACTGGTCCAACGCCCTCCACGAACGGGTCAACACGCACGCCACGAAGGTTCTCTGTCCATTCATCGTCATTTTCTGGCTCTGATTCACTGGAACTTTCGCTTTCTTCTTCACTACTAGATTCCTCGGGAATATATATGTCTGAATCGGCATCTGAGAAACCCTCAAACTCATCTAAATCATCATCTGAATCGAAATAATCACGCAATATCTCTTCGTTTGTTGGTAGGTCCGCCATTTTGAAATATCAACTTTCGCTTCAGTTTCCATACATGGTAAAAACCGTGTTTATTAATAGGTACACGTGATATTATGACAGTACACATACTTTAATTTTATAGACCAATAGTATCGCTTCAATTTTATGCGTACCCCAAAGTTGTCGACGTCATAGTCTCGCTTTCATACAGTGTTAAAATAAGGAGACGTCGACAGGCGCTTGTGAGGAAATCCTGTCCAAGCGTCGAGAGACGCTAGTGCGGAAATAATGGCGAGGCGTCGAGAGGCGCTTGTGCGTA